TAAAATGTATATGCAGTCTCAACAGAGCTGTGTCACCTCAGCCTGGGGATTGCTGAGGGTTTTATGGGTTGCTTCCTTCGGGAAGCTGAAAAACATAAGTTCTTGGGTTATGTGTTCATTAATTGAAAGTGAAAATTTTGGAAAGAAGGTGCTAGGGTGCCTCTTTTCTTGAACAAAGGTTTTACTAGTTTCCCATGAAATCCAGCGTGCCACTTTATGATTATGTGTTTGGTCACCTGCCCACTAGGAGGGAACAGAAGGGTGACACAGCCACGGAAGCAAACACCTGCTCATCTCACCTGGTGTTGCTAAAGGAGGCTGGCAGGGCGGTTGTTGTCCAGCACGGGGGGTCTGAGCCTCCCCTGACCGGGGGGCACACACCCAGGTTACGTGGTATCTGAAATGTCCCCCAGCCCTGCGGAGGGCTGGTGGCAACGCGGGTCTTCTCGTCTCTGAGGGCTGGCTGCCCTCTGGTGCCCGCGGGGGAAAGTGCCGGGTGGCTGCGTTGTCCTGGGGAGCATCTGTGTCCCCAGTCGTTCACAGGAGAGGGGGTGCATGAGGTCTAGAGACTAAAATGAGCAAGTTGGGTCTGAACTAAGGGCAGATCTTACCGTAGGTGTAACGGACCGTGCTGAAGGCTGCTGTCTCGTTCAGCCCAAATCTCTGTTGGCTGTGACGAGAGCTCAGATGTTGGCCCTGAGGTGGGTACCTAAAGTTAAGGGAGATGATTCCCCAGCAGAGAGACTTCAGCAGCTGTCTGTGACTTAGGTATTTTTTGTGAGTTTCATAATTGAAGGGATCAAAAGACTTAATTTCAGCCGTTTATTTTTTTTTTAAATATATCAAGCTCTAGTGGGTGCTTAGAGGAGTCACCAAGGCAGGATCTGAACTGTGTCACTGTAGAATGGATTAGTTCCATATTTGTTTTCCTCAGTAGTGTGTGCTGTTTGTACATCGGGAACATGCAAGTGACTTTGTCATTCAGGCTCTCAGCATTCTAGGCAATGCTTAGATGCAAAACCTCTGTGTATACAGCATTCACAACTTAAGGGTTTGGGGAAAAAAATGAATCAAATGCTACCACTTTCATGCTCATTGCACAGGCTCTCTGGTTTCTGTTAAAGCTGAAAATTGTTGCCAGCTCCTCTTTAGTCAATTTGAAGTCAAGCACCTAACAAAGGAAACATCTGGAAATCACCTCTCTGAACAAATCAGAGACTGAAAGCAAAATCCACAAAACTAAAGAACAAGTCTACAAGGCAGAGGAGCTGGTTAGAAGGAACCACTGCCTCATGAAGGAGGGAAAGGCATCTATTTCCAAGAATTCGTTGGCAGAGGGAATAAGAAAGGCTATCCAAAGTTGCAATTACACATGGCAGCCATTGCAAGACAGTTGGTGAGCAAGCAGCATTACATCTGCCACTTCTGAAAGATACATCTTTGTGTCCTGTTCCTAAGGAACATCTACAAGACTTTCATGTTTTGCTTAATTCAGTTAAGTCTTTCAAAATCCTGATGACCAGTTTCAGTCAAGGACAACTGAATTAACAATGAAACAACATGCTTTATGGACACCAGGATTTTTTTCCTTCCCACTTGGACTTTTATCAAGGCTTCATTCTCTGCAAGAGGACTTGAGGTGGCAAGACTGAAGCATGACAGCATCTGAAGATGGGCCAAGACCAGGGGTCTTCTTTGGGCAAAAGGTTTGTATTTTGCTTTGCTGTTCATGCCTGTTGGTGTGACACTTTTCCCAGATCATGCCAAGACACAGGAGGTGTCAGTTGTTTCTCTGTTCTGAAGGCATGGCTGGGGTTGTCAGATGATGGTAGGGATGTCTTTGGGAAAGAAGTATTACATGTTCTGTGGTTGAGAACTAGCTTGGGAAACACTGCAAACAGTGTGCTTGATTAAAATGCCTGAAAGTTCCTTGCATGAGGTAAGGAACTGTGTGTGTGAGGAGTGGCCTGATTTGATTTGTGTGCAAAGGTTTGCACTAAAGCTGGATGCTTATTGTAGTTCTTTTCAGGTTTGGTGTGTTGACATTTGCATGTATTAATTCTAATTCATCGAAAATCATAGCCTCAAGAGATGAGCACTATTTGGCATCTGAGAAGAACCAGACTCAAAATAATCAAAGTGGGTAGGTCCCAGTGAAACAGTCTTTACCAGCAGGAAGGCTGCCTGGTTTGCTTCCGGCCTGTAATGACAGAGAAATTCAAGGCTCCTCTGAGGGCTGGTTACCCCCCGATACCTATAGAGAAAAGCACCACATGGTTTTATAGGTGGGAATTGTTCCAGGAAGGGTTCATATCCATGGCCAGTGCAGAGCCTTTCAAATGGGGAAATACATTTAAAAAAAACCCCAAACCAACAACTCACAAACACACTAAAAACCAAAGGGGAAAGTACTGCCTCTTGTAAATTCTGATTCTTTTGTTTGTCTGTAAGTAAATAATTAATTAAAATTTCCATGGTTTTCTGCCTCATCTTGAGGTTGCATGATACATTCAAAGTTTTGACTGGAAATAGTTGGATGACCTCCATCTGAAAAGCATGTTAGATATATTCTAGGGACTTGTATGTGTATATTTTGGAATATCATATGTGATCTGAGTATTAGGGTACTGAGTATTTGCATATTGTGGGTTTTTTTTCCTGTTGGAATGAAAGAGAGTAAGTGCCAGCAAAATGTAAAGCTGTAATGTATCTATCTGAGGTCCATTGTCCTGTCTCTCATAACCATCATGCTTAAGCCCAAAGTGCAAGTTTTGTTCAGACCTCATTTGAAAACAAAAGCTTCTTTCTTTTTAATCACACAAAAAGGCTTAAGTTCTTTTTGCACTTGTCATGGGGTAAGGAAGCACCACGCAATGTGACACTGCTAAACTGAATTAACCAAGTGGACTAATGTTGGAGTAGCCTGTCAGGGAGAATATATGTATACACAGAAAGGGTCTTGGTACACATGAGCTATGGATGTGAAAGATGGATTGTTCTCCTGTCACAGAGAACAATATCTGGAAGCATTCACAAGGTGTAATATTATGGGTCCCTCATCTACTACTACAGCGAGTCAGTGTGGTCTCACGTGGTAGAAACACAACACTCAATGCTAACATGTCTTAGTGTCAGGCTCTGGGCAGTGACTCAGCACTAACACATACTGTTACACCTCATGTCCAGTGTATTTTCAGTATCTGCATAATGATGTTTCCCCATAGTCTGTTTTATAGGGGTTTATAAAGCTAGATGCCAGCATAGGCTGACAGCCAAATCAGTCCAGATTTCCTCATATGGCACTTGCCAGCACTTCCAGGTATTGTTCTCCTGTCACTTTCACATCCATAGCTCACATGTGCCCCAAACATGTCTTGTTTGCACTGTCTGGTCAGCCGTGGTTCATTATATCTAGTTAGTCTACTCCTGATCAAGGCAAGATCTTGATGCTTCTGTGACATCTGATATTTGAGCCTTTCTGACATCTGTCAAACATATTTTGTACATCATTAGTTTGTAATACAGGTGCATGTATAATACAAGTAGCTAAACTTGTGTAAGTGTACCACATGTTGTACACTGAATTACATTATAAGTTAGTATGGGAAAGGAGTAAGTCAGCACTGGGTATAAATATATTAACTTTACAAAAGCAGGATTTTTTTTAATAACCTTGTTCTCAAGGAAATTTCCAGGCCACTCAGTTGCTCAAGATACATCTCAGACTTCATATGCTTTTGTCAGATCCTGCAGTTTGATCTGCTATTGATGTTACGGATAAGAATGCAATAGTTGTACTGCAGATAGCCTGTGTTCACCAGCCCAAGGCACACTGACTGCACTTATGAACCCCTGAAGTGCCATGCTGTTGAAACACCTTCTAGCATAGCTTACCTGCATCCTCCACCATGAGGGATAGGCTTATGTCAGGGAAAAGCTTTACTGGTACATAGAGTTAACAAGAGACCTGTTGCAGCTACCAGGCTAGTGAGTCAACACAGCCTAGGCAGAGGGAACAGAACACTTGCTTCAGTGTCAGGCTCTGTGCAGCAGCCCAGTATTTATACTTAACAGCTCCATCTTACACCTTCTGCTTCTGTGCAGTATCAGACACCTGCTTAACACCATCTCCTCTCTCCTCCCAGTCTCTGTTACTCTGGGTTTTTAATAGCCGGATGCCAGCACAGGCTACCAACCAAATCAGTCTACAGGGATACCACTACACAGCTTTCCAGCAGTTTCACGTGTAGGTGACCTGGTGGTTGCTGATCCACTGTCCATACTGAGGCTTGTCACACTCAACTATTCTTGGCAGCATTGCTCTATCAACCAAAGTTTATTGCACCAAGTTATTCAACTTTTGATCAAGACAAGATCTTGATGCTCCTGAGACATCATTTAAAATTGAATATGGATGATTTTTCCAATGACATTGCTGATCCAAATGGCTTTGTAATTTTTTCACATTAGAATAGAACATCCAAACCAGC